TATACATGTAAAATATGGTATAAATAGTAAAAAAAAAAAGCTAAAATTAGCAACAAATAAAATAGTATACCGTGTATGATCCATAAGTTATATATACATAAGTTATGTATAATATATATACATGTTGTATATACATAAGTTATATAATATGTCTATAATATATATTAATTGTATTTATTTAAACTGGATTTTTATTTATTTTTATACATTACAATGGAAAACTAAGCCCTTTTCTCCCAGATTACAAAGTGATTTTAACTCTCATCTTGAACAAATAACACTTTTTCTCAACCTCAGTGAATCAGATGAATGTGAATCATGGAACCAGAAGAGGGCGCTGTTAGGTTGAAGGACTGTAGAGACAGATTTGAAAAGTACTGGAAATCTGAATTTCTTTCATAATTTAAAGTGCTTGAAGGGTATCAGCAGAGAACAAACCTGAACCCACCTCTGGGTGACAGTGATCTGTTTTCATCCAGATTTTTATTTTAATCGAGAGAGTGGGTGATTCGTTGTCATTTCTTTTGGAAACTAGCTTTTTGGATCTAGGCCAGCAATTTTTCTCTTGTGTAAACAAATAAAAAGGGCCTTAACTGCTTTTAATTCCAAATCTAAAGACAAGAACCATGGAATTATAATCATGTGTAAGAGGTTATAAATTATAATAGCCTTATAATATAAAAAACAAAGTGATTTGGAGGTAGACTAAAATGATTTTATTTTATATAAAATATTTTACCAGGGTTTTTTTTTTTGGATACTAAGAAGAAAGCAAGAAGGCTTATTACTTCTCTGCTTAGATGACTTCTGTAAACATTCAAAGGAATAAGTCAATATAATTATAAATGGTATAAGGTTAGAAAATTGGGTTGTTTAGAAAGATACCAAATTAAAAGTGAAAGTCTCCAAAATTAACCACTGTAATCACTTTCTCATTATTTCTTAGAATGTATGTTTGTCTATGTGTACACACACGCGCATGCACGCATATGCATGTGATACAAATCTACCTACCTTCTGTTTTTTATTTCACGAAGGTAATCACATAGTGTTCTGTACTTTTTGTTGCTCTTGTGTTTAACTTAATCATATATTATGGCAATTTTTTCTTTTTTTTTTTTGGCAATTTTCTCATATAACATATTCTTTATCCTCATTCTTTTGAGTGCCTTTTTAATACCTGAATACAATCCCATTGTGTGGACTTAACATAATTTCAAACTAATTCTCTGTGCATGGGCACTTCGGTTATTTCCAGTGTTTTAATGTTTTTGTAAAGACCCCAGTGAACATCCACGTGCAGATGTCTTCACGAACTGTTGAAAGCATTTCTGTAGGGTAGATTCTGAGCAGTGGGACTGCTGAGTTAACAGTCGTGTGCTTTTAAAATTTTCAGACACCTTGTCTAATTATCTTCCAGAAAAGTGTACTCTCCCAGTGCATAAGAGAGCCCCTTTCTCTCTCCATGTCCTATGTTAGTTCTCCATAGCATCAGACTTCTTAAATTTCCACTATGTTGCGTGGGGAAGGGAAAATCACATTGCTTTGACCTGTAGGTCTTTAAGGGAGTTTGAACATCTTTTCATATGTTTATTGACCATTCTATTTCTTTTTTACTATAAAAAATTTATCTTTCTTCTCTATCCTTTGCCCATGGTTCTATTGATAATTGATTTGTATGAGTTCTTTGTAAATTAAAGACATTTTCCCTTGATTTTATATTTGCTGCTTATTGCAGTTGTCATTGGTCTTTCTACTTTGCGAGCTTTTTTTCATAGAAAAGAATTTCATGTAAGGTAATTAAACATAACTTTTTTTTTTTTTCCTTTTTGGATTCTGGATTTTGTGTCCTGCTTAGAAAAACTACTCCAAGGATTTAGCTGAGATTTCTCCTAGAATTGTTCTTTATTTCCTTTTTCACATGTAGCTATGTGATCATCAGAAATATATTTTGGGATGAGAAATGAGATAGATGTCCAGCCTTATTTATTTATTTATTTATTTATTTATTTATTTATTTATTGCCAATTAGCAGTTGTGCAAATATAACTTAAGAATCCCTTTTTTTTTCATTAATTTGAAATGCCAGCTTTCTCATAAACTAAGTTCCCATAAATATTTGGATCTATTTCTGGATGTTTTATTATGTCATATTAACCTATTTATTCTCCAGTATTGAATAGTTTTAATTATTATAGCTTCTTAATATGTTTAATATTGAGTAATAATGACCACTTTCTTTCCAATTGTTTTTTCCAATGTTTCCTAACTCTTCTCTCATATTTATTTTTCCAGATAAATATTATGTTGGGCTAAACTTTACTTAACACATGACAGGGACAATGACCAGCATATCTGAGAATAGTGTTCATTTCTTTCTTGGTGTCAGAAGAAAAAAATATATAGCTTAAGAGTGAATTAGCGGAGGGGATAATAGTTAGCTCAAGAAGTATAAACACACTTGAATTGGTTGAGTATAATAAAAAACAGCTGCAATAAAAAAAAAAAGTCAGAATGGAAAGAAATGGCTAAAAAATCATTTTTCTTTCTTTTTTGTTTGATTTTGATCTGAGTTGAGGAGGAGGGATGGGTAGATGGAAGGGATGGTTTACATCACAGGCATTCTAAGTGAAAAAAAATAATTTCATTGTGTGGAATAACAAAGCCTGAATATATAATCCTATTTTCTTCAAGTAACTAGTCACATTTAAATGAAATTTTTCTCTTGGAGGGGAGAAATAGCACAACAGCATATTAAAATGCAATTCCTGAAAGCAATGTAAACAGTTTTTAAGTTCACATGTAAATGGGCCTGGAAGTGCAAAACCAGTCACCTGCCACCAATCAAGCCGTCCCGTGGCTAACTCATGCCATTTGTGCTTGGGTATTGGGTGACGGTGTCTCTGTGTCCATCATTCATTCTGGTGAAATGCATTTAACGCAAAATCCCCAGGGTCTTTTCCAATGTTGCCACTGCCTCATTACAACTCTAGTGCCTCCAGTGGAGGGGAAACTTTGTGAAGGTCTCAGCAGGAAATATGGAACCCAAACCATCCTTCTAGATGGAGTTGCCAGATAACATACAAGATGTCCCATTAAAGTGTTTTTGCCCTATTAAATCTGAATTTCAGATAAACAATGATTTTTTTTTTTTTTAAGGAACTGTAGGTCCCAAATATTGCATGGTCAGGATTTAGCACAAGTATATCTCAAATATCCCATGGGATATACTTATACTAAAAAAAAAAAAAAAATTTTTTTTTTAAATTTGTTGTTTACCTGAAGCTCAAATTTTGTTGGGTGTTCTGTATTTTTATTTACTGAATCTAGCAATCCTATTTGTATGAGTCCTCCTGTTGCAATGTATTTATTCATAGAGAAACCAAAACCTAAAGGACCAGAGAAGAGAGATCATTTTCTTGTTTATTTACCCCCAGAAGGCAAGGTAGAAAATTTAACGAAGATGATTTGGTTTAAGGGTGAAATCCAGAGGATTTCAACCAAACTTGACAGGGCCGATGACTCCCCAGGGCTCCTTGTTACGTTCTGGATGGGACTCAGGAGTGCGTGTCTGACAAGCTTCAGGTGATGCCAACACTGCTCTTCCCTGGGCCACACTTTGAGCAACACGGGGGACAGATTCCCCCTCCGAGGGAGAAGAGATTTGGGCAAAGGTCATTACTGATGCCGGAAATGTGTAAATGCTCTGAGGCAAGAAGTGTCGAGGCCTCTAACCAAATGTTACCCCGTGTTCTTTGTCGCAGGTGCTGGCCAGCCCACAACATTGTGACGTGCTTTTCAAGCTTCCAGATCACTCACCATTTCTTTCTCGAGGGTGTCCCCTGGCGACCTTTTAACCAGATCCCCAGTGCAGGGGCTTCTTGGCATTTATCTAATTTCAGAAAGGCTGTTCTAAAAGATGCTCTCTGTTCTTCTCTGGCGCAGCGTTTGTGTTCTTCCCAGTTTTTCGTTTTGGTTTTGATTTTTGTTACATTTTGGTTTTACATTTGCACAGTCTATACAAAAGAATATGGAAGTGTCGTGATCCCGTAATTCACAAAACGGTCTTAGCGTGAGCCAACAGGCTTATGGTTTCAAATGTGTTCTTCTCTTCTCTCAGAGTTTGTGAGATGAATGATGCAATAAACCTGTTTTGTTTCAGTAGTTCTAGGAATTAAACACTTCATGTTTACAGAATTGAGCTGCAGAAAGTGCAAGACATGCCAATTTGAGATCTTTCGTCTTCTAACAGAAGCATACGATTCATGCATTTCAGAAACTAAAAATCACACCGTAGAGCTCTGAGCTATAACTTGTTTTTAACGCAGAGACGCTAGTCTGATAATATATACTATAATCCCGAGACATTTGTTACTTACCTTTGGGGTAGAAGTCCTACCAATAAATTATTGCACCGTTAGTATTAGATTTTGTGTGCTTTGGAAGTTCTGTGATTCATAGAGCTGGCCCATCAAATAAAGCGAACCCTTGCAATATCAGCTAGACTTACACTGTGGGGACGTTGCCCAAGGGTAGGAAGAAACCGTAGGGAAATATTTCAGTCATCGTCTCCAAAGTTATTACCAACATCGGTGAAGAAGTTTAATCTCCAGAAGAGCGGTGGGTCAGTGATAGCCGTGAGGGCTTTGTTGCTTGCTTCTCTTCAGGCTGTAGATTGAATAAGAGACTCCGTATGAGGCCTAGGGAAGCTCTCATCAAGATCAGTCCATCGTGAGGTGTGGCCAGGGCTCACCCTTGCCTGCAAGTTCTCCTTGAGGGCCCGAAGCAGAGGGGTCTGAAGCAAAGCATTAAGACCCTCCTCCTAGAATCCAGTGACATATGTCGTGATGAGCCACCGATGTGCAATCAGCAAGAACCTCCAGCTCCCAGTGTGCCCGGCCCACTGCAGTGGACATCTGCTCTCTCCTATTTTCCTGTATCACCAACACAATTCTGCAGTTCTGGACCTTGCTCATGGAGAAGTTTAGAGTGGAGCTCTTGTGGCTAGCTGGGTTATTGTCTGCCCTGTGTGATGAGTTTCCGCTGGCCAAGAAAGGATTCAAGTTACTAAAAAAGCATCACGTTTTAGATCTCCAGGCTGTTTTCTTTAAGACTGGGGAAAGGGGAACTATTTATTCTGCCTTAAAATGATGGCAAATAAGTGAAGATGACATTTTGTGAATGTAGACTATGGATATACTCCTAATAGGTTAATGTAGTCATAAAAGGAGATCAAGTAGATGTTTTTCTGTTTATGTAAGCAATAATTTTTTTTCTGTGTCTTATCGAGTATGGCTAGCAATTATTTATTTACATGCTAGACTGTTCTCTGCATGCGGGTTCCATGTAAGTGCAGAAATTTCCTCAGCCACTGGAGGTATCTTGACCATTTTGTCATTTGGATGAGCTGTTATTAAGATTGAAATTTACACATCGTTTCATTAAAAAATTGTGCCTTAGAAAATGCGAAGCTGTTGCACATAGTGATGAATTATGGACACAGTACATTGAAGAGAGATGAAATCACTTCCAAGTCACCAAGACTTTTCATGGAGGTGTTTGCTGTTTTACAGGAAAAAAAAAAAAAAAATGAAAGCAAGAAAAATAGAAAAAAAATTAAAAAGTAAAAAGTTTTGAAAATGTACAGATTAAGTTCAATATTTTGATTAACCACCTGCATGTTTTATTAAATATTTTGATAATGTGATGTTTACACTTTGCATGATATTAGCAGAGTACTTTACCACAAATAATGCACAAAACATGTACAATATGATCATTCATAACCGATTTTTATAGAATACTTTTTACATGTGGAACTCCATCTGTTATGTAAGGATTATATGAATATTGCACATTCTCCTCTGGTTTCACAAACCCATTTATACATATTTCTTAGTGAGACTCATTGTACATGTATTGAAGCCTGAATCGAGTCAAGAAAAATAAAGCCCCATTCTCCAACTACGAAATGTGCTTTCCCATAATGAACAATAGTCACCAGCACAGAAAAATCTCCAACATTTTCTAAATTCTAATTGCCAACTGTTTCTATTTATATTTGATTTATATTTCATTTGGAGTCTGTTACATGGCAGCTCGGGCAGACTAGATCTTGTTTTTTCCAATGCAGCGTAATGAGTATGATCTATTTCTTTTCAAATAATCTTTGAGATCCCAGGGAAAAAAAATGCGCTGCTCTCTTGAGCTATGATGGAAATGCGTTTGTTTAAAAAACAGATGAGGCAAGTGAGTGATTTATTGCTCCTGAGAAAATATATCTGGTTTTTTTTCCCCTCATACTCCAAAAGCTAGTCCTTTCTCTTTCTTAAGAAAAAATGAGTAACTCTTTGTTTTTCACTAGCAAACTTCCATGTCATTTCTTCATTCTTTCTATGTAGTGTTATTAATGCAATACATATTATAGTTATCTATACACAGTGTAAGACTTAACAAACTGAAATGATCCACCTCATATGTGAGTCCGTCCAAAAGATGTTACTGCTCTGGGTGGGCCAATGTTCTATATGAGTTATACTAACCTTCATTTAAAATATTTATTCTAAAATGCCTCTGAGAAATAGTAAAAAAAAAAAAAATTAAAAGTTGTCTAAATGCAACAGCTTTTATAGTAAATGTACATTTATAAATAAAATACTCAAATCAACTTTGTATTCCATTAATTGGGGGGCAGAGGGGTCAGCTTTCTTACTTGGGGAAGAGCAAATCAAGCTCTCTCTCTCATAGCTTTCGGTCCGGGGTTCATAGTCAGATGATGGCAATGAAGCATATTTGCATATGCATCTTGAGGTCATTTTTGAGGTCAACTATTTAAGGCAAATTTTTTTTTTGAGGTCAGCCATTTAAGGCAAATCAAACTTAGCACTAAGGAATTGCTTCCACTGAAGGATTCAGACTCCTTGAAATGAGACACCCAATCACCAGGAGAGACCCTGCAAATGCCGATGGAAATTAGTTGAAACAACCCAGAGAGAGCCAATCTAGTGAAGTCGCTAGATTCCGCCCCTGTCCTTAGTGCTTCTCCAGTGTTTCCTCTCACTGTGTGTATAGTCACTTCACTGAGGGCTTTTTTCTCCACTGTTGAATCAGGAAATTTGCTGCAAAACAGAGGCTTTCTGCTGATGCCGTGAACTTTCCAAAATACACATGTACGATGCCTGGCCCTCGGTCCCGGGTTTGCAAGTGGTGGTGGTAATAGCAAGCCAACTCTATGAAAGCTCCCATCGCCCTAAGATGCAATGTTCTAATTGCCACCCCAATTTGTATTCTGGTTCATTTTGCCAAGGGTGGTAGGCAGCTAGTAGTTGCTACTGTTTCCATAGATAAGTGACTTCTTTCCCTTGCCTAAGAGAGTTTGAATAGCTATCAGAGTGGTGGCATATATCCATCGTTACTTAAATGAGAGTCCGTTCAACTACAATGCATCAAAACAAAGAGAAGATTGTTATCAAAACATGTGCTCTCTAGAGAATGTCTTCACCAAAAGAATAACATTCTACCTCAGACAGCTGAACTAGCTTTCTTTCCACTGACTTTCTTCAAGACCTAAGGACTTCTTTGTAGGGTCCTAATTTAGACCACAAAGGATCCCTCCCCATCCTTTGGCATTATCTATGTCAAGGGTTACAAACTCAAGTGACTGGAGGGACCAGTTATGCACTGTAAATAGGAACCAAAAGTGGGTAATACAGTGGTGTAGACTATAGCAAACTGACAAGTGAACAGCTCTGTCTAAAGAAGGAGGTGGCTACCTGAGTCCAGGCAATTGTTTTCATATGAAATCTCCAGCCTTTTAAATGTTGACAATTCAAAACATTTTCCAATGTGTACCAACCCAACTTGTGAGGCTCCACAAAATATATCTGCAAGTCTAAGTTTGTTCCCAGGCAGCCCACTCGTTTGCAACCCACAATTAAATCTTCTCTTGGCTTTCCTGTCAGCTCCTACACACTTGCTCTCCTAAGCGTCATTCCCTTTGACAAACATATTGAGAAATAGCTAAGGAAAATATTTACTTTCGGAATGTCTTGGGTCATTCCAAGAAAGAAGCTCAAAGAACCATCAATCAGCCGGTTGTATTGCTATGATTCATAACACTTTCATGCAGCATTATTTGTGTATTTTCACCAAAGACTGCTATTTTAGAAACACCCATGTTCAGTGTTTTGCCGAACCACGCCCTTCCCCTTAATAGTTTCCTCTTCTCTTCTGAGTGACTCAAAAGGACAGGAAAATGCGCATACATAACAAAGTAGAACTTTCCCTAAACTTCTTGAACATCGTTTCATCAAATGTAGTTGTTCCAGCATTGTTTCGTTTATCAAAAAGCATTTTTGAGGTACCTGGGGGGCTCAGACGGTTAAGCGTCTCCCTTTGGCTCAGGCTATGATCCCCGGGTTCTGGAATCGAGCCCCGCATCGGGCTCCCTGCTCTGCGGGAAGCCTGCTTCTCCCTCTGCCTGCCACTCCCCCTACTCATGCTCTCTCTCTCTCTCTCTCTGACAAATAAAATTTTTTAAAAAAAGGCATTTTTTGGCATGTATACATACACCTCCCTATTCTATAGATGAGAAATGAGGTATAAGAGGAGTAAGTGACTTACTCTGGATGAGTATAAAATTTTACATAACTCTCTATTTCACCAACCGTCTCCAACCAGGGGGGACTAAGTAAACCTCCTATTCAACTGTGCCTGGCTCTCGTGTCCGGGACCTCACATGAGACCAACTAGGTGGACCTCTGAGCATAGCTGGAATTTGGCAGAATTTAATCTACACTCAAATGGGGAGCAGAACATTCTTTTTATAGTAAATGTATACTTACAAAATTCTCAAATGGACTTAGAATTCCATTTTTACCTCTTAGGTTTTGATTTCTTTCTCTGAGCAGGGAGACGAGAGCTGGCCCTTGTGACATGACGTTGGGCATCTTAGCATTTGCTGGAAAGGGTGCTCTCCAGCCAACCACACTCCTGGCCAGAACCCCATTGACTTCTGCCCTGACATACGACACTCCCAAAGCCTCTCTACCCTCCCCAGATCCAGTCTCCAGACCTGGGAAAAAGTAGCCTGCCTGATAACACGTTTGTCCAGCCCAACCTTTGTTTCACAACGGGAACTCCACTTTCTCAAACTCAACAGCAAAGGCCTGAACAAAGGAAGGGCCTCTTTCTAACCACTCCGATGGGGAGATGACCCTGAGGACACAGCACAGTGATTCCTATGTCACAATATTATTTCACTGCTATCAGATTCACGGACAACATTAAATCAAGGCATTTCATTTTTCCAGCAGGAATAATGACATTATCCATGAAAACCTGTTTTCTTTATTGTCTACCAAGGAGCCAGAGAATTATTTCAGTGTCCCCTGTTGGTTTAGAAAATACTGTGGCTGGAAAGTGACTGAAGTATAACTCTAGGAAGCCCCATAAACATTTTATCCAGCACTACACTCCCACTTCCTATGAGCCAGCATGAATTACTATCCCGAGCTCTGATCCTGGAGCATTCAGCAGTTCCTCTGGATCCATGAAAAGTTCTGGTAGTATTTCATGTTTTCCAATACTTTGAAGACTGAGAAGCTACACCTTGTTTATATGATAACACTCTGGGAAACAAGTGGAGTGTTTGATTAGCTAATGTGGAATGCTTATTCTGAGATGATCCAAGAAAAGGAGGAATAATCAAGGTAATTTGCCTTATCAAACAGTAAAATTTACTATAAAGATAAAAATAAACAAGTACTTATCTTGGGCAAGAGTTAATAAACTAATTATAATTAACACAGCAAAGTATATGGCCCAGAAATAGACCCAAATATGGATGAAAATTTTAGTGTATAATAATAATGGTATCACAAATCAGTGGCTAAAGGAGGAACAGTTAATTGTCACCTCTTCACAATAAAATTAATCCCAGATGAATTAAAGTGTTAAGTGGAAAAAAAAAAGAAAGAATGATAGGTTTAAATATGTTCAAATACATAATAAAGGGAATTATAAGCAAAATTTAAAAGTGATGAAAAACTGGGGGAAATATTCCCAACAAAGAAGACAAAGGTTAATATTTTCAACATAAGAAGCCCTTTGCAAATCAATAGAAAATGGGCAAAAGGACATTAAAAAGCTGGACGTAAAAGAAATATAAATGCCAGTAAACATGAAAAAAAAATGTTCAACTGTACTGGTGATCAAAGAAATGTAAATTAAAACAACAGTAAGATAAGACTCTCCCTACACCCCCCAAAATAGAAAGTCATTCAATCATACTAGGAACTAGAAACATCCATATCACAAAAAAATTGTTTTAAAGACTACAAACCAAGAGAAGTTTTGTCACAGGTACAACCAACAAAGAATTAGTATCCAAACTGTATAAGGAATTTCAAAATATCAGTAAGAAAAATACGAACAGGTCAATTAAAAAAATGGACAAAAAACATGAAGAGTGAGATCATAGAAAATATGAACAGCAAGAAAAAGCAAAAATATATTCAATTTCATTAAGAAGAAAATGCAAATTAAAACCATTATGAGATGTCATTTTATGCCCACCAAACTGATAAATATTTAAAGCTTTGATGACACCAAGCGTTGGTGAAGATATGAAGCAATGGAAACTCAAACACTGCTGATAAAAATGTATATTGGTAAGAGGTTAATATCCAAAATATATAAAGAACTTACACAACTCAACACTGAAAAAACAACTAATCTAATTTAAAAATGGGTAGAGAACCTGAATAAACATTCTTTCCAAAGAAGACATGCAGATGGCGAACAGACACATGAAAAGATGCTCAACATCACTCATCATTTTCCTAATCTCATTTCCTATCTCATTGTGATATCAGCTCACACCTATCAGAATGGTGAAAATAAAAAACAGAAACAAGTGTTGGTGAGGATGTGGAAAAAAGGAAACCCTCATGCTCCATTGGTGGGAATGCAAATTGGTGCAGCCACTGTAGAAAAGAGTACAGAAATTGCTCAAAAAAAAAAAAATTAAAAATAGAACTACCATATGATCCAGTAATTCCACTACTGGATTTTTATCCAAAACAAAACAAAACGAAACAAAAACACTAATTCAAAAAAATACATTGACCCCTATGTTTATTGCAGCATTATTTACAATAGCCAAAATATAAAAGCAACCCAAGCATCCATTGATAGATAAATGGATAAAGAAGATGTGCTTTACACACACACACACACACACACACACACACACACACACAGAGGAATATTATTCAGCCATAAAATAGAATGACAACTTGCCATTTGCAACAACATGGATGGTCCTAACATGAAATAAGTCAGCCAGAGAAAGACAAATACCATATGATTTCACTCCTATATGGAATTCAAGAAACAAAACAAATGAACAAAAAAAGAAAGAAAGAAAAAAGAGACAAACAAAAAACCCCACTCTTAAATACAGAGAACAAAATGGTGGTTGCCAGATTGCAGAGGTGGTGTGAAATAGATTTTTTAAAGAATATATATTGGGGAGCGCCTGGGTGGCTCAGCTGTTAAGTGGCTGCCTTCAGCTCAGGTCATGGTCCCAGGGTTGGACCCCTGCTCAGTGGAGAGCCTGCTTCTCACTCTCCCACTCCTCCTGCTTGTGTTCCCTCTCTCGCTGTC